CATTGATCATCGAGCGTATTTCGCAGTGTATGCTAGACGTCAATTTGACTGCTGTTCTATTGGAAGCACTACGTTAGATGTAATATGCCGATGCGCTTTTCTCCAAATCAGGACAAAACAGTTTGCCCGTTTTAGGTATTTCGCGTACCTAAAAGTGAACTTGGCCGAAATCGCTTCGATAAACATGCTGCTGAGTGTGTGCCCCTTGAGAAAACGTGGACCGCCCCAATGCCCGATACGCCCTATATCCGTTTCACGTTTCGAATTTTAAAATCGACTAGAAAAATATCTGATCGTTATAGTATGCTGATTTTATATATCGAACAAACATATGACTGGTTCGGAACAAGAAAAGAGGGGAAATCTGTCTTATCTTTGCTCAATTTGCTTGTTGTTCCAATAAGTGATTCAACAAACTAACTGCAATCTGTACAGCTTTAAAGCATTCTTCTACATATGCAGGTATGCCTCTGCAACGGTTTAAGAAGCTCAAAAGTTCGCAGGGTATATCCCTGATCCAACCCTATGACGAATCCGATAATATCGTCTATCCCATACAAAAGCTGAATAAGCAGCTACCACTTCCGTTCCTGCTTCCAATAGCCGCTAATGGACTGACCCAATTGAGAACCAGATCACCAACTCAACTATTAATGCGGAACAAAGAAATATTACGAGTGGCCCAGACGAAGTACATCGGTAAGAGCGAGTGATCGTTACTATCGAAGCAATCCCATATGTTGGAAGCACTGATGTGCCAGTGCGGGTAAGCTTGTATGAGGTTTTCCAAATTTGCCCGTAGTTGGGCTCTGTCCTTTTCCCCAAAAATAATTAAAACTTCTTCACGAGTACATGATGCGTAAAACGCATACGTGTAAAATAGTTTGACACAAGACCTGGTAAGACAGATACCAACCAATAGCTTCACAGCATGACAAAAGAATTTCAAACAAGTTGTAATATCTGTCCTGAAATTGGATTTAGGCTCTAAGTAGAATGGTGAAAAAAGTGCGCCTCGCTTAGCAGGAGTAACTACTTCCTACAAACGGCGCATAAACATGATACACATTAACATTAACGCCTAAAATTCAACGACAACCTACCGTAGTGTTTTACAACAGTATTACGTTATTTAACTGCATTTCATTTCCTCCAATGACCAAGTCGACTCAATTAGAGAAACTCCCTTTTCCGTTCTTTACAAAAAAAAAAAACCGTTATAGAACGTTATATTCTGCGATTGTCCTGAGATTAATCTCAACAGACGCACTGCTGAGTTCGAGTCTGTGTATCCTCGTTAGGTTTCGAAGCACTGAACTAGCCAGAACATAGCTACGAGTAAGTGATGCCTCAGTTTTATTGAGTATTACAAGGAAATAAAAAGAGATGTATGTTTAGTTTGAGGGTTATCGATCAAAGTCTGTCAACACCGCCTCCATATTTGTATGACATAATATAAGATGTTTTAGACTTGAAATCCGCACCTCACTAAGGTTAAAGCACGTACTTCCACACAAACTAATCGCTAAGATAAAATACAAAATATTTTGACCCAAACGTACTTGTTTTTGTGTTACATTGTGGATGCACTTTCATAGTGGATGATATCTATATTGTTAGTCTCTATAGAAAAAAAAGTACCTCTTATCCCTTTGTCGTACTTTTTAGCTGAGACAGAGTTACGTTTGTCGATTTGAAGCTTCAAATATGCTTCTGATGCTCCTCGCTTTCTAATCTGGTTTGTTTCTAAACGATTGGAACGACGGAAACGTATTTAGCGTGGCTACGTTGCAGTGACTAATTTACTTTATTCGCTAAAACTTCAGCCACCAGGGACGTTATTCCGTTAACCGACGATTGCTGTTTTACGTTAGGATACTAAAAGTTTCCGAAACAGCGTTTCGCTTATTAAACGATGTGATAAACGTTTATGAATAACATTTCTAAGAAAAATAATTGATAAAAGCATACGCGATCAATGTTGTTGGCAACGGAGTTGGACGAGCTTGCACAGTGTACATCGGAAGCGGTAATTGCTTTGTTTAATACCCGCCGGCAACCCCCACCTTCAACATATGCATTACTAATTTCAACTCAGCTGAGAAATTACAAGGGCAAAAAGGGATCTTGCAGATAGCGAGTCTTTTTTTTGTAGTTCGGAGATTTAAAACAGCTAATTCTTTATTTCACTCGAGTTACATAGTTCATGTCTTCGTAGGATTGAGCACGGCCAAAGATGATTGCCGATATGGACCAAAAAGCGTAACCCTCATTATGTGATCCTGTCACCGAGCTCTTTTTCATGCGAGACGCGGTTGCAGGGGGCAAAGAAGGCGACAGAGTAAGAAGGGCAAGAGAGGCGAACAGGCAAAAGGAGAAATCCTACAATGACATGATATGGTAGGATAGCACAGGACCAAACGGCGGCACTTCGTCACCGAGCATCGCGGCTAGTCAGCAGATTTGGGGAAGATTTGTCCTGTAGATTTTTGTTCCGCTAGCGCAAGATTTGAGAGGACAAATAGGTCGCCACTTTCGGATCCGATCACGTCCACAAGTTGATGTGGGATTTGCTGCTGTTACTATTGTTGTCGCCGACGCTGCCATGAATGCCGGCTTCGCGCGTCGATGTCGTTTGCCTGTTTGCCAAGCTTAGCCTATTTCGTGTCATGGTGCCCCTCGCCCTCTCTATTTCTCGGCATTTCCCTCTCCCTCACACTTGATCTCCCTCGCCAGCCATCTTCACACTCGGCCTTTTTGCACTTAGGCTAAAAACCTACTCCATTCTAACCTTCTTTATAGCCTATAGCCATTTTGGTATAGTGTAGTAGAACGCTGTGGCTCCTGTTTTAGGATAACTTTGAGGGTGGGCACTATACCGGCTGCGTTTCATACGTCCCATAACCCATCCCGCGATGGGTTATAAGGCGCCTCGTGTCTCGGCTTGAACTCTTTCAAGTGCCGCAAAAGACGCTTCGCGCTGCTTGGCGAAATGAAGAAAGCGATATAGACAGATTGGGAAAGCAACAAGAGGGTAGAGGAACGGCCGTTGCAAGCAAACTTCATTTGACGAAAAATGCAAAAGGATTCATTACTAATGGCTAAAACGTTCCTGAGGCTTCCTGCCATTTCAGCCAGATATAAGGGCATGTTCCTGTTACTTTGTAGCAATGAATGCTGCTAGTTCTCGAGTGGATAACTTTAGAACTTTACCGCTACCATAACTCTAATGTATCTATATATATATAGGCACTAACTAGTTTCTAATTATATGAAGCTGAATCGAATGGTGGGTGACGGTTGTCCACAGTAAGATGCATTAAATATATATATTTGCAAACGCTATACCTAACTAATCCGGCAGGTTCGTATTGCTTAAGGCATTATAATTCATGGATGCTTACTTTGATCGCTGCTATCGATAATTACAGGTATTGTTGTTTATATGCCGCATATATACAAATGGTGTAAGCAGAAATGTAGCAAAAAAGTTATTATCCTTATCGATCCGCTAAGTCGAAAATTTATCATACCATTATCATCAGACGCTCATAGGATCATCACCAGGTTCGTCCCCCACAAAAACACATCTCATATATAATATTAAGGAGCCAACAAACAACGAACGACAAAATCACCATCACTTCGAAATAGAGGAACACATGGATCTGAACTCTTTCGTGAATTACACAAGTTTTTGGAGCAAGGCACTGTCCTTACAAAATCAATAAAATATTGTAAAAGGCCTAGCTAATGTTTTGAAATAATTAGTCCGATAGTGATAAAAATAGAAAATGAGAAATACGTTGTACAATTTACAGAAAAATTGAAATAAATTACTGTTCTATTGTAAACAGTGTAATCAGACCTTTCATTACAACGACATTATCAAACTGCATGGTTTTCTTATTCTGATAATGTCTCGCGCTGATCTGTAAACAGGGTTACCTGTCGCTACTAAACATAACCTCGTTTTTTTCATAGTTCAGAAGCTAGTTTAATTGAATCTATGTTTCAAATATTCCGATATTTCAGAATTAGTGGCCATTACTTGACAAATGGATTATGAGTATAACCCCGTCACTTTGTTAATCCCAGAATCATGCAGATTAGTGCTGTATAGGACGTAATGATGGGCTATATATACATATATATATACATACATAAGAAAGCTATTAGGACTTACTGATTTAAAGTTTGTTTTTTTTTGTTGAGTTCCTTTTAGAGCTTGCATTTCGCTATAATTATCATCTCATTATCATTAAAAAACCTATTGATTCAGTTACGATTAACCAATCGATTCACAGTGAGTATGGTTTTCTACTTTGTTACCGTTTTAACCCATATTAGTTCAGGTCAAGAGTCCGCCCACCGCAGGTTAATCATGGCTGCTGACGGCCTTCAATCACCGACAAGCGATTTTTTCTGGGCTTCACAGACTCTCTATTCGTACGTCGTACGTAATACGAAGATGAATCAAAAATAGGCTTTATTGCTCGTGTATGTAAAAAAAAGTCTATCAGATGACTGGCAAACTAGCTGTTCTATCATTACCAATCCAATGCAATAATTTCCACTTTCATTCGTAGTTAATTTTGTTGCGTTAAACTAGATATCCTAGCAAAGTAACAATTTTGATTCCTCTGTGAAGAGTATTCGAGGTTTTATTGCAAAGTGATGTTCCCGTAGTTTAGAAAATCATCTTCTTTCAAACGGCTGTTACAGATTGACCGAGCGAAATCTAATGAAGATCGTCTTTGGCCTTGCTTTCATTATAACGAAGTTAACCGAAGATCTACCGAGACGAACAATTAACTCTTCGATCTTTATCGTTGCAATTGGGGTACCCTGAATAAAGTTGACCCTTAACATTATTGATTACGTTCACAATGACTCGCATACAAGGCCTTTTAAACCGTTCGAGTTTTACAGAGAAGAAGTGCCTTTCACACGAGTTATAAAGAAGGCTGGCTAATATCACTGTGTCTTTCTGTGTTCAAACCATCGACCAGCAACTTCGTAATTCCGTATGCTATATTAGGTATTTATAGTTTAAACAAATGGCTGCATCCTTGAGAGCTATGGACGTTTTTAGAGAATATATGGTTGTGTTTGTGTTTTTGTTCGTTTCAACGCAGGTTGTAGAAAAGGCGCTATCAATGCGAGCTTTACGTACGGTGCGCCTCGCAGATTATACATCAACACCGTTGAAGTTTTGACAAGGACAACAGTTCGTTACGTGAACTTCGCTTCCTTCAGTAGTTGAAGCCCTCCTATGTTGGGAGATTTGATTAACTAAACAGTATTACATCGATTTATCTATTTCTAGTCTGTTTGGCTCCAAATGTTGTTATTGTTAGGGTGGTAGTAGTAGTTGGATGTTGTTGTTGTTAGTAAGCCTCGAATATCCTTTAATGTGCAAAGGATATAACGTACAAACGATCTAAAAGCATTAAACGCCTAATTTACTAGCTCAGCCGCAGCTGTAGTTTCTCTAAGTGAAGCCATATATTCACGTCGTCATTCCAAGTTTGTCAAAGCATTCATTGTTAGCGGATGAGCCGCGTACATATACCGATTAGAGTCAAGAGAGCTCTATATACTGATGAAGTGCAGAAAAAGATAGCAGAATGAAGGAAACAGAGGGCGTCGGATGCTGCTTTAATGTGTCATGACGTGCCCGTAACGCGAACACTGGATAGATGGAGGGATAGACGGGATTTAGAGGTGGGGCGACTTTAAAATATGCCGGCATAACGAGTTGTTTGTCGGTGTGTGATGAGCTCAGGGATGAGGCTGCGATCTCTTCCTTCCTCACTCGCTGTCAGGCTTTGCGAGGGCATCAAAGCGCCGCCAGAACTCATCACTGTAGTAGTCGGTCTGAATGAAGCGACCGGAGGCAAAATGTGGAACCCACAAACGAAAAGTAAGATCAATCGCATTTTTCAACATTTACCAGAAATAGCAACAGCGTAACAGTCGGTCGCCATTACGTCAAGATGAAACCCGTGGCCGCAATCTAACCTATATAAACGAGCACAACAACTACAATAAGACATACAATAGATAGCTTCACTATACGGACTACCGCTGATGGGCGTTGTCGTCCGCAAAATGAAGTCACTTATGATGGTAGTACCTCGAGTACGGTCGTGTCGGTGAAGCGGCATAATAGCGGCTGTAGTCTCGCTACCCTAGTTTTGTTAGTTTGCTGTTCTCGTCACGACGTAGATTGAGGCTGCGATACGTATAACACATATACACTTTCATTGAAAACGAGTTAGTGTCGTAGATTAAATTTTGACTCCTATTCACATGCTAGTGTTTGATTTAAAGGTCCTTTTTAGTGGCTAGTGATACATGGCTACTCGATAAAAGCCTAGATGACGCTAGTTCAGCGTTTGTTCTAAGGTACAAATATATTATCACATGTGACCTTTTAATGAAAAAAACGTCGGTATATATGTACATACTGACATATGAATAGAATCAATCTAACAAGTACCTACATTTCTGCCCATTTGACATGCCTCAAGGTTCGTGTTTAAGCACCACCTTGGTTCTATGCGCAGCCTACCGCCTGGAGTCACGAATATAAGCCTCATAGGGATGATGTTGGATCGTATTTCAACAATAATTATTTCCGCCTTAAGCCAAACAAACTTGAGCCAGTTCCAAGTATTTTCTAGCAGTCTTAACCCACATATTGGCTTCATGAGAGAAAAGGGTGTTTACGGTTCGAGTTAGTGATTTGACTGTAGAATATCCATAGAAGAAATCCTATAGAAATTCTTCTATAGAGGTCTAACTTTTAGTGAGGATAGTTTCGTGTGTTTCCCTGCGGTAGTCGAATTCTCGAAACTAACTCTGTAATCATAGCAAATGTACAGTGTATATATAGTGCACCTTCTTTACCATTGCCTAGTCTTTGTAATAGAAGGAAAGGAGTCATCAGAATACTTCCTATCTTTTTCTTTCTCCTATTTGTACTGCACCACAAAATACAGTTGTACAATTTTAACCATCTTCGCCCTGACCGCGAGCTCACTTTATCGTTTGTGTGATATTCGAAGATCCGAAGGTGAGGGGAATTGTAGGTGTTTGTATGATTGTCTGTCCCACAGAGAAGAGCAAAATAAGCTAAAGCTTTTCGATAAAGAACACAGGCGTTATAGTCACGATAGTTCGCGTGCCCAGAGCACGATCGTCGATAGCAAATTGCAATGTGGGATGGTGATTGTAAGCGGGGAGAATTTGGAAACGTTATCCTCACGTGCGTAGGGTTACTGTTTTCTTTCGCTGGCCAGAAGTACGCGAAATGTGGATGAAGAGCGTTTGCCGAATCTTCCACGTGTATCGAGCCTAAGCAAGCGTAAAGAAAGTAGCAAACATCATTTGATGAACTATGAGTGGGTCAGTTTAGAGAAACCCATTATTAGGTTCTGCCATCCATAGAAAAGGCTGATATACAATTTCATTTTCGTTGCTCGTATTACATTCTTAAATTTATCTGCCTTCAACAAGAAAAAGGTACAAAGATCCATAGTATATAGGAGACGTAGCAATCCGTCATATTTTGTGCGTTCTCTAAAAGCTGCGTTCTTTTATGCTAACTTACCTCCATTCAGACGATGGGCGTGGTCCTTCAACCTTGAGTTTACGGCTATCAAAGAAAAACGCTCGAGCATGATGGATCCTACATTATTCTGTTCCTACATTCACTTTATGGAAAGCGTTCGTTCGATATCAACAATAACTAACACTACTATAAAATTCTGTTTTTAAGTGTTAAACGATGATTCTAGAATCATCGTTGGTATCCTGTTCCTGCAAATTTGAGATTTATAGTATGTCTATGAACTTAAATATCGGCTGCCGATACCCTTGTATTATCTATTTGTGGTACAAAAAGAACATGTGGCAGAAATGGAAAAAATAGTTTAAAATAGTTTCTTTGTGAACTTTATGGTGTTTTTATTGCGTCAGACGCTTCCGAGGCTAAAGACAACCATTCAATCCGGCCTAATGATAGAAACTGGAACGTGGAGAAAAACTTGTTCAGAACAAGAGCGGCATAGCTGATTTTACACTGAAAATCCTAAGTTTCTTCGTTTTGTTCCAAGTTCTCTAAGTGATTTTATTGCTACGAAATCAGACTCGACTTCATTACGGGCAGTCCATGTAACCATGTCTACCCTGGTACTATAAACCCTACCATGGTACTATAAAAAAAATTACAATCAAAACCTACGTATCGGAGCTAGCGTGAAAGGTCGATCAAATTTTTCAGGTCTAGGTCTAGGAACCTCAGATTCTCATACAACGTCATTTATTCTAAAATAACTAACTATTGTCTTTATGATTAGTAATCTCCGTCTCGTTTACCTCGTGTGGTGGTTTATGCACTACCCTGATACCTTTGTCGAAAATTTCCTATATGTATACGAACTGACTATGTTGCTAGTCTACGTAGTTATTATTGGATACAAGGAAAATCTCCATCTTCTCATTTAAAACATTACTACCTTAGTGCGCACTACCTGTAATTGGCAATCTATGGAGAATTATCGCTGCGCCATCACTGTCCTTGCCAGTGTGCTATGTATGGTCTACATTTACGAAATCAAGTTATTACCTCTGCGGGGCAGTAAATTGTTGAGGAATAAATTTTCACACTTCACAAGTTTGACCCAATAACTTATGACCTATACGTAGATAAAAGAATCGGTGTAGTGAACAATAGTTTGTACCAAACTATTGTTCACTATACCGGAACTACGATTTACTAAGAAAACTATACCTTGAAACAAATCCCGGAAAATCGGAACGCCCGATGCGGGAATCTGGCGATTCGTCTGCTACGTATACTTGTGCCTCAAGTAACGAGTAGAGTTGAAAGGTTTGTGCGGCTTTTCGTAGAAGCAGCGTACGGATCAAAGAGCACCTTCAAAAACGGGCGACAACATCAGGCCAGAAGTACAGGCAAGCTCCTCCATAAGGGATGATTTCCTATGCTCTAGTGAACTGTCTGTAGGGATTGAACGCCGAAACAAAATGGGTTTCCGGTGAGCTTGCCTCGAAAAAGGAGGTTGAAAGCCAATCGTTCAAACGAAAAACTTTCGAAGAAGCGGTTTCGAAAAACGAACCAGGATCTGAAGACGTGGCTTCTAGATGAAGTGATTCTGACTTCGATACGTCGAAATGACCAATAGCAACATTCGATTTCGTGAAATCCGTTCTGTCAAGGGGCAAGGCCGTAGGCAGTTCTTATCGACGCTATGCATCACTTAGAAATGTCCTGATAAATATCATTTGGGGTACACATCTCACACAACTCATACTCGTAATAATAGTCGAAACGATTTCTGGCCTTCTTAGCTTTTTGCCAGTAATTCCCATAACCTGTACAATAACCTATTTATATAATATATAAGGTTAACTAGAAACTACATTGTCTTGACATTATAGAGCTAGCACACTAGTCAGAGCCATAGTCGAATTGAAAACTAGAATATCGTTTATAAATGTCAATGGTCCTGATCAAAATACGAAACTGAGTACGGCCTCAAGCAGGTTTCTACTACATAACCTCTTATAAATTATGCAGTTTAATTATTAAACATTGAACATAAATAGCAACCTTACCTAGGAGCGTACTTGTCAGTAGCAAAACTCTTCCACCATAGGCCACCCGTTGGGGATCACGCGGAAAGAGTTTTAATTGTTAGTCGCAATGGATGCGCCCTCGGAACGCGTTCATTACTGAAAGTTAGTCTTACAAAGGTTTACTCGAGCGTCCGTTGCTTTCTTTTAACATCGTGTCCCATTTGCCGCGTTGCCGTATGTCCATCTAAGTATCAGCACCACACAAGATCGCTATCTAACTAAATTAATTCATCCACTCTGTATATTTGATTACGTTGTTTTCATTGCACTATAATATTAGATAGAGTGAAAAGTTCCCGCTAGATTGGACAGATCGGCCGACCGTATCTAGCTGAAACTTCTCATGTTTGAATATCGGGCGCGTATGTTGCAGTTTTTATGAAGCTGTCCTAGTGATTCAGTGCGTTCAGTTATGTGGCTTGAATATATGCATATTCGACACTGTTTTCGTGCTTGGTAACTGCTTCCAGAACTATTAGCGAAATCGAAGGGGAACATTTTCCAGTTTTCACTTAATTGCTTCAGAATAAAAGATTTAGACTTGAACGACAGGCCACGCTCCATACGGCCATAAGGAGCGAACGATGATGAAGTGCGGACACCTTAGGAGATTGTGGCGCAGTCGACCGAAAAACTTTTTAGATAACTAAAAGTAACCCAAAATTACTTCCATGCACTAGAAATAGCAGAAAGGGACGAAAGCTGGGCCTGTGTGAATCCAATGTAGTATGTATGACAGCAGACTCTCCGTTGCTTGCTTGGCAGAAAAGAAGATCAATCCTACAAAATATCGTTACCGGCGATGGAAGAGTGATCATTCACGTTAACATAAACGAGAATCGTTAGATCTCCCAGTTCGACGCTGCAAAAGTATATTCATAGGTAAGGTCTGCACCTTTGCATCGGGGGAATAAGAAGGAAGTGTTACACCCTGAGCTACTCAAACCTTAAATAAAGTACGGAAACCCATTACACAGAAGGAACTCATCCATCTGAGCCACAAAATTGACAGAAAAGGCCTTGGACTGTCAAAAGATGAGGCGAAGCGATATTGCCGCATGATAACGTGACACTGCATACAGCCTTGGTGACTCAGCAAGGGCAAACAGCTGTAGTAGGCAACTCTGTCCCGACATCGATCTGTCTGATTATCATTTGTTTTGGGCAATGCAGCGTAGCCAGGAAGGTAAACACTTCAGAATAGAAGCTGAAGTCTGCAAATGGGCCGACGAGTAAATCGCGTCCAAGAACGAAGCCTTTTCTATTTCTTGGGATACATCAACTACAAGAAATGTGGGCGAGCAGGTAGACAGCGAATGGAACAACTCTAACTTACGTCTGTTTTCACTCCATCGAAAGTTACAATTAAACATCAAAAAAACAACGGCATCGTTTTGCTCAACCTAATGCATATTGCAAGTAAACCTATTAGAACGTTATGTATGAAACGTTTCGACAAAAATGGCGATCGGTAATATGAGTTTGGTAAATGATCAAAAAATTCTCAACTGTAGCTTTATCATCGTGATTTTCGCCGTGCGGCTCGAGCGTCGTTGTACAATAGAAGTACAGTTCATTAATCGCAGCTGCTTAATGCGGAATTTTTCCATCAGCTCCCCAAGTTGTTGACGATATACTTGAGAGATAATTGACAAAATACAACCCATAAAGCTGTCGCGGATAAAACTTAATCAGTCTACCAAACGGACATATGCTTCTGCACCTGCACATTTGCTTTAGAGTGTGTCCCGGCGGTTCAGTTGTATGCACCTGCTGAAATGACCACCTGCGATTACCGTAGAGAATAAATTTTTCCCAAAAAGTCACAATATGGTCACTATTGTATTGTAAGAACAAAAAAGAATGGGTCTGTATATGACTACTTTTGATGCTTGTTCTAATTATGTGGCACCCTATAATTTATCGCATTGTCTTTACTATATTGACTTTGCTTAACTGAACAAGTATAATATCTTTTATATGCTAAACCTGAGTTTTAACCCCTGCGCATGAGGTGTCGACTTCGAACACAGCTCCCAAAATCACCTTGGTATTGAAAATTGAAAAGCGGGTCTTTTAAACTTTGGATTTTTGAGCGGGACTCTTTTGGACTAACGGTTCGGCGACAGGGTTTCTAATAGTAGAGACTTCTAGGTCTCTTATTAGGTTTATATGGCGAGTGATAATCGCCAATCGTTTTTCCAAACCCGTAGAGCTCAGAGAGCGAGCCCGTAGAGCGTAAGCTACTCGTATTTTTTTAATTTTTCATAGCTGACTATGACTCGCCTACTGAAAGCAGCCTCAAATTTCACAGAATGCGTTCTGAGCACAGAAAAAATTGTTATAAAACGTTGCACCGCAAAAAGTAGCTCCATTTTGAAATATGAAGTCAATGTTTGTCACGCCATATACTAAAACACCTAATATTTAGAAAAGTTTGAAGATTTAGATAAGCATGCAGACATGACGCTTATGAGCCTCCTGTTTACGAAAGCACGTTCGAATGACACCTAAAGCATCAAGTCGCTTGGGCATGAGCCACCCAAAGAGATAAGCTCGCCAACAGATCGCCATAGAGGACAAGCTAAACGAAATCCTGCCAGGACGTCGATATGTCTGAACATGTCGCAGTCGCGAATACGAACATTGAATGGGCAGAAAATTGTTCGAAAAAAAACAGTCTAATAGGCACACAACCTAACAGATATCTAACCACCGGATTGATCTGGCAATGCTACTTATATCGGGCTGTCCTTTTCTGTTGCACGTATTCGTGTGAAACAACAATCACCCCAAGGCACGCGACATGGTCGCCAGTAATACCTTGCTAGCGTTCTATTCTAGACAAAGCATGTCAGAATGCAGAGCGGGTATTACATTAAATCCATGCAGTTGTATTCAACGCGCGCCATATCCACCATAGTAACGGTGCTACACGAAAGATTACGTAGTTTCTCTCGCTGACCGCATCCCGTCTGCACGATATTGAAACAGTCTAGATATCCTTGTAGTCTAAAGACGACAACTTGACGAACGGAACGGCCAGCTGACAACAACTACACGTAAGCCAATACGTACGTTAGTTATAAAGAACTATGTCAGATTCCTAAATGTCAAGATGTGTAAATCACAACTACTTTTATTCAACAGTTTGTTTTCCGATTTTCGATACGTGACAACATAATTTCGTGCATAATTTTCTATATATATATATATATATATATATATATATATATATATGCTTTACTAGGCCATAGTTGTGTTCGTATATAATCCTTACAATTGAGGGAGGTCGCTTCTTTCGATGAGTTTTATATCCAGTTTGATGTTTCCCTTTATTGTGTACAGGAGTAAATGAAGCTAGTTGGCCACCTGCCCATTTTTCACTTTTACAAACGGCTGATAAATGAAGACTAGGCCATTTTCAAGGATTACATTCTTTTTAAACGTAGTGTGTATAAAGTGTAGCTTAGAATCGTATTATGATCTTTGCCATAAGCTTGCTTCAATAGTACCGTACAAAGGAAACGATAGCAGCCATTAGAATTTGGACTATTTCATGGTACGCTACAGGACTATAGCTGTAATGTTTCCTCTTTTCTTTGGTCAACTATGAGATACGCCGCTCGTTCAGTGTCGGCTTGAATCTCAGACTGACTTTAACATCGGTTACAAATACCCCTCAAACAACATGTATCATAAACTCGAATTTCTCATACTTAACTGAAACATGTTTAAATATGCTAGTTATGAGTGAGTCGAGCTAAAAACCAATCTTGTAACAGTATCCTGTCGTTGTCCTTTAGGGCCGAGAGCGGCCAGAGCGGCGTTGGACGATCTAGAAAGCCGTCTTTATGTGTGATACATTACCAAACGGAGTAACCACAATGTATGCCGGGCACGTTTATAGCGATAATCGTATAGAGGATGGGGGATGAGTTGATGTCTTTGGAACACGCACCTATACACGTAGACTGGCACACGTGGTGGCCGTCAGAATATCATATTCGGTTGTAACCATCGGCGTTAGGAGTAGTCATAAAGGCACACAGTTTTTCGGTCGTACGCGGTATGGCCGTCTTGTCAGAACCCTATCAAGATAAATGTGAACAGTCAACGTACCTACTTCTATTGTCATCGCGCCGGTCCACCACCAGTGGTTCTCTTTGTCCTGCCGAGTCAGACGAGATTAACCATTTGCTTTGTGTCTCGCAAAATACTGCCTTGCTATCTGTACTTCTACTCTTACGTATTCAGCATGGAACGATACCGATAATATACGAGTATATCGACCCATGCATTAATCTCTGATCCAAAGATTTCGGTCTACCCTTTACTGATTAAGAAGTTCCTTACAGCATCGGCTATTGTGAAGGATGGTAATGTATCTGCGGAGGTTTATCTGATATATTTTTCGACGCTGGCGACAGAGTCGAACATTCCCTAGGCAAAAAAAGGCAGTGATAAATGACTTTCTTTTGTTTCCCCGACTCATAATGAGTGGCACCACACTCTCTATCTGCCTGCTATTCACGCCAAATTTTAAAGAATTCGAAAGTGTCGTTTGTGCTTTACAAGCGTTTTGAAGTAAGTGAACTTTTCTTTTCGAACAAAACTCAGGTATCAAAGAGCGAGTACCATGTTCCATATCAAGAGAGAATTCAGGGGCTCAAAAGTGATGCCAATACTGCAGGAGACATTTTTGAATCGGGCTATAATTCAATACCGAGTGTATAGGTAATACGTGCGGGTTTATAGCAAGTATAGTTAATAACATAGAAAAAGCAAAAACTCACCCCAAAGAATTCGCAGCAAACCTAGGTATCTCACGCAAATTAAATTGGAAAATTATTCGCAGCTGAGAAGTTCACAGCGAGGATAGCGTTGAAAGATTTTCAAACTAAGCAAACTCAGACCTGCCGACGACTGTCCCAGAGAAGCCTCAACGCACCCACGCTTTAACACCTCAATTCAGGTGGCGAGATGTGTACGGGTACAAAAGCATAGACATCTGAGCATCATTTTAAAGGCGAACTCAGAACGGAGAAACCTTCAACATGCAGATCACATGTCATGTTTTGTTACCACCTTTTTCGAACATTGGGGGGGGGGGGGGGGTGTATTATGTATTGATGCCGAGTGGCCACCACTTTAACTGAGGACTGCCACCAACCAGTTTTAGCAGGACTAAGTAATGGTGCCTGCCGAAATAAACCTGACCGCTGGAAGCTCGATGCCTTTATGCCCACATTCGGCAAATCAAGCCCACCATGATTGTCTCTCCTTCCTAGAGTTTATTAACCATGTGAATAAATATGACTTTCAGATTGATCGAACAAATTCAAAAACACTTCAATGAAAGACAGTGGCACACAATCACTGGACTTTGCAGAGATTACCTTGAAGCTAATATTTAGGATATAGGCAGCTAAGTGTAGCTGTAGTTGATATAAAGTTTCCGTGGGAACAGTTACCGTATCCACATCGTTGAATTTCAGCTAATTTGAATGGCTCCGACGGGTAGCGAGTAGCGGCGAAACAACTGTCTTATAAAGCGAATGAGTGTAAAGGAACCAAATGTTTGGTAATTTAGGCCATTGCCTTAATCTGGCTCGAGTATGTTTATATATACTTCTCATTTTATACAAGTCCTGAGGGATTTAGGTATTTCCAATCTGCATTGGTTCTTTTTCCTCAAATACAAGATACGTAGGTATACAAGGTAAGTGAAGTTATCTCTGTCCTTGTTTTACTTTGATTTGATAATCTCAAGCTTAAATGTACAATGCTGACCGCATATTTAACCATAGTGAACTTTCTTTAATTAATTTTCAGGCTAATCCGGGTTATCCTGTTTTGGTTTAGTGAGTCAGGCAACAAATAAAGCATATAGCATATATAAAAGCTTTTTGTTTTGTACACTTTTTGTAAAGGACTTTTAAAAGAACCAAAAGAGTTTGCTCACAGAACGATGCTAACAATAAACACTGACCTAAATCGAACGTTACTATGGCAGTCGCTCAAGTTCAAGCGTCTATTGCATTGATGAAAGTGAGTAAATTCCATAAAGACAATAAGGATAACTTTTATGCATCACAAAACGATGTTGAGAATAATCAACGATGCTATAGACGTACGTCTATATGGCTAGAGTCCAAATAGCAGTATCTAGCGTACTATTTTTTTAAGTTAATGAATTTACGTACTGCCTGAAAAACCCAACGCTATTTCCCAAAAAAAAACAATACGCAAGGGCTCGAAAAGTAAGATTCACTTTTTGTGTTCGAACAAAGAGCTGCGCTCATTACACCCAATAATAACTACTCTAATCGCTTTCAACTCGCCGTCTTTGCTATACTGCTAGTTCTTCCTTCTTTCTTATAATACCTCCCAGAAGGATTGTATCTGCGCGCTAACTTCTCCTGAGCAGATCACGCTGCCGTATGAGCCGAGCGTCCTGAGCTCTTTGAACAACCATGACAGCTCCTTCAATTAAGTGACTAATTAACTGGTCACATTATACAGCGGTTGTAGTGTTGATTCCAGAAGAGTAACTGTTGCTTGCTTGAAAGAGGTTTAAATCTCTTTTTGGCTTGACGACCTGTCATGTGGAACATCCTTCTTTTGAAAAATCCTCTCAGGAAATCGCTGCCTCATACGTGGTTAACTATTGTAATGTAATTCTACAGTGCAAAATCCAATGAAAGCATCACAGGTGACTTTATAGGCTGCTGGTAAAACAACTACATAAATCCTGGATAAGCTTGTGTAGGAGAGAGTCTAAAAGTATCATGAGATATGACCAAAGAG